AGACTTCACAGTCAAGATGCTGACCTATGAAAAGGTAAACAATAGAACATTCCTGACTCTATCACGAGTGTTTTCAGACAATCCTGAGATATGTTTTTTCTTTAGTTATGTAACAATATGAATTATAGTATGGCTCTTACCACTGAATGCTGGATGCCATAATCTAATTGGCTGTTTCATCATTTCTGCTGATACCATACTCCTATGTATACTAACATGAGGTTAATAGCTTCCTATTAATATACCTAGGAAACTTTAGCACCTGTAGACGTATGTTGATAAGTACCAACATTAAGGAAATTTTGGCAAGTTGTGTCATAAATACCTGAAAATATATATATATACAAAAACTTAATTTGGCCTTGAACATGTACCTCCGCAGATGTGTCCATATTAAATAGAATATCCTGGAAACAGTTGAACTGGATCTCTGTATATCTGTTAATTGATAAAAGAATTAACCTTACTCACTAGAAGGACAAGGAAGCTCCATCTGCGAAGCAGTTTGTTACAGACATAGTAAAGACAGCTTTATTAAAGTTATTAATTATTTGTATTATAGTAGCCCATAGAAACTCCAATCAAGGATCAGAGCCCCTCAAGGAGTGGAATACCAGCCATGGGATTTAGCCAGACAAAGGTCATTCAAGATTTAGTGAAAGGAGTTTCAGTGGAGTGGCGAGGGTGGAAACTGGCTTGAATGGGGTCAAGAATGGAGCTGGAAGATTGGAACTTAAGACAGCAATTGTAGATGGCACATCCAATAAGCTTGGTGAGGAAGGGGAGAACAGAGATATGGCAGTAGATGGAGAGGCAGGTGGGGTCAAAATTGGGTTGAATGGAGGACACATAGTATGATTTTGAAAGAAAATGGATGACATACCTAAAATATATACAAGAAACAACAGGAGAGTTGTAGATTGCCAAAATGTGTATATCCAAGACGAGAAGTAAAATAAAGAAACATAATAGTTAAAGACTGCGGGATAAAGAGTTTGTTTTCTATTCTCTCTTTAGTGGGATTCCTACATATTAAACTGTTATTGCTACATTATAGGTGGAACTTGTAGAGACACCTATACTTAATGTTGCCAGACACTTCCCATTCTAAATTACTTATTTAAATTACTAAAAAGTTACTTATAACTTTGCCAAACTTTAACCATTTGGGCTGAAATTTTCCATGCCAGTGTCTACCTCAGGTTGAATTTTTGAGGAAATTTCAGCTAAAATGGTTCAGCTGTTTCTGTAAACAAGGGCAACCAGTTTTTCCCTATTTTGCCATGTTATTATGATTATGATTATTATTTTTTAACAATTTCTTTGAGAATCTCTAGCATCTCAATGCCACATATCAAATGAGTAGGATAAAAAGAACTATTGAATAACTTTGTTGTTGTTGTCCTTTATGATCGAAGATAACATTGATGATATTATCTCTTGTTAGTACAATTGTGGCTAAAAAGTCCAGTGTGCGGGTGGCAGTCCTTTCCACATTGAGTACATATATAGCTCGATACCGAGGAAGGGATTACAGTCTATGCTGGTGTAATCTAATGCTGTTTACAACTCAGCGTTTGTGCCTCAAGAGCCATATGGTAATTAATCTCGAACTAACTCCATCACTGACTGCTGCTTGCCAGAGTGATCTGTCTGTTGCTGACAACTCCCAGCTGTCAACGTCAATGTTGCATTGCTTCAAGTTATGCTTCAGTGTGTCCTTGAAGTGTTTCTTCTGGTCGCCTTGTGTGCAGTTACCCACTTTAAATTCACCATACAGCAACTGCTTTGGCATTCTGGTGTCATCCATCCTCAGTTCATGACCAGCCCAACGTAACTGTGATGTGATGAGCAATCCTTGTAGAGTGGCTGTGTTCCAGAACCTCGTTATTGCTAACTTTATCCTGCCATTTGATGTGGAGTATGGCACACAGATGTTGTAAATGGAACTTATCTAGAAACTTGATGTGATGCCTGTAGCAGGTCCAGGTTTTGCACTCACACAACAAATTGGACAGCACAACCGCTTTATAAACTCTTATTTCGGTTTGAAGCCTAATACAATGTTGCTGCCAGACTCTGCCTGACTGATGACGTATGAATTGTTCACTGAATGAGGCAGAGGCCCTGTCAAAAAAGCTAGCATGTAATCGTGTCATTAGACTGTATCACAATGCACATGCACATGAGGGTCAAACTAACATTGCACTGGCAACCTAAATTCAGGCATTTTCTAACTTTTGAGTCCTCAATTTTGCAACATAAACATTCTTTTAACCTAGTTCTTTTGAATGTAACACAATATGCGTGATACTATATATACCATACAGAAAAAAAAAAGAGAGAGAGATATACTATGCTGGCATTGGCTGAAGTGGGATTTGCACTGACGCTAAGCATTTCTCATTAGTGTTATCTTCAAACAGAGGTTTCTGAAAGGAACTATTGAGCCACATTTTTTTAATTACATCAGTGAAAATCTGTAGTAACTCCACTGAAGCCAACAGATTTATATTAGTGTTACTGAGATCATTTGCACCACTGTCTCTCCCAATTACAACACGAAAGCTGTGAAATATGTAATTGGTATATATTGCCATTACATGACATATTTTCATACATGATTGATGGTCCTGGTAGACATATATGTACATAAATCTACCTACCAAAATCCTCAAATGCATATATTAAAGTGATCTGAAATTTAAGGAAGTCATAACAGGAAACTGAAAACATATGGAACTTGAATATATAACAATTGCTAAATAAAAACATACTGATATAAAATACCTTTTAAATTTCTGACATGAGAAAAACAAATGCTTCGACTGCTTCTGTTTTCTTAACAAAAGAAGAAAACTCTGACAGAAGCTCATCCCTGAAAAGAGATTCTAACAATGACAAATCAGCATGCATGGATGGGATGAAGGAAGATACAGATGATTACTATACTTCTGGTAATGAAATGGATTTCATTGTAAAGTGCAAAAGGTTACTGTTATAAATATTAAGTTGCAAAGAAAACTATCTACCTGTAATTCTCATTCTCAGAAAGTGCTTTAACAGGGCATTACTCTTGGGTCTGCGCTCCAGAACATCACAGGCAGGAACTTCCATAAAATTAGTATTTTAAAATGAATAAACCTCCTGACCAGCAGAAGTTTTGTGCCTATACTTGCTGAGGGGATAGTGTGATCCCTACTGTCTCCAACTGATAGTTCCTTTTTTAAGCAAACAGTAGAAAGCAAAAAGAATGCAAATTGAACCTCCAACTCTGCAGGTAATGTGTGTGAGAGAGTGGGGATCTATTATAATTATACACCTGTATTTCTTCTCAGAAAGGAAGTAATTTTCTTTTCTCCAAGTGGTAGTAATAATATATACCTACACTAGCAGACTAAAAATCTCAAGGGATGTCTCTATGAAAGCTGAAGTTGTAGCAATAAATTGTAACATAGAGGATATGGCAACATTCATGTTGGAAGTAGCAGTGAGAAAAAATATCAGGGATAGAACAGTAATAAAGAAGTACGTTTTTGTATTTAACAAGTAGGGGATAAAATCCCACAGCCAAACAAGTCAACAGTGAAAACCAGGAAAAAAAACACCCTGAAATGAACTAGAGGAGTGGGAGAGTTCGGCTGCTCTCAGCTCCAAAATAGGTCCTGTAGCACAGTTAGGCAACTCTTGGATTAATGGCCTTAAGGAGAGCCAGGCAATAAAGCTTTCAGAGAACTCCAAGTGTCTACCCTGCAAATCGCCCGGAAAGGAATGATTAGAGGCTGGCTCTGAACATTCTCCGTCATCTCATGTAGCTGAGTTGTGATGGCCGTTAGATTTGTCTGAGCCACAAGAGATGTCACTGCCAGTAGAGCTGGAAAATCAGCCCCCAGACTCTTGATGAGCCACAATGACTGACCTTGCAGGAAAGGGCTGACTACTTTGCAGATGCCGAAATGCTGTGGTGGGCTAACTTAAATAGACCTGCAGCAAAATGGGTACTGCTGACACAATTTTGATGCCTATTTGGGTCATTTAGAACTTGTCCACTGATGTCTTATAGGCCATCATGGGATTGGTTTTAGCAGAAATTTCAGAAGAGGCTTAGTCTTGATGTACAACCTTCAGCCAGGGACGTTGGGATGGTGATCCCACAGCAAGCTGAGTCATGGTTTCCCCTAAACCCTATGTCATGTTCACCAGGGATCTCTTAAAATCATATTCAAGGTATGGCTTTTACTTGCTTGTTGCTCCTCACACATGTCTGATAAATAAGAGAGAAAACCATAGCAACAGTAACAAAAATATACAGCAGCAAATTCAAACAAGAGCCTTGTGGGACTCTCAGACCAACTTGTTTCCTGTGACACATGCAATCATTTGTTTTTGGATAAATATTATCCTAACAATGGCAGAGAAAAGGGTTGGGGAGAAGAGAGAAAATCTTGGAAATTGACAAACTGGAAAAATGGAGGGTTCCCCTGTTGTACACTGGCAGCAGCAGCCCATAAAAGTCCCTCTGCTATGTGAACTGAAAAGGTAACTAACAGGTAAGGACATACGGAGCTGCTTGTACCCTCTCAGCTGCAGCACACACACAAACACCATCTCTGGCAAGGCAGGTTAAGAGCATCACAATGCTATATCTAATGACATTCCCATTATTCACATAGAGGGAAGACAAGGCTGGGAGTGAGGATCTATTTTAATATGTACCATTTAGAGCAAAACACATTTTAAGAGTGTTTTATTTATGGATCTCATGTTCACTCATCCACTCCCCTCTTGGTAACCCACCTTATGGCCAAGAAGGGCTGGCCTCAGCTCTCTTGGGAGCCTATTAATTCTACTTCAAATGCTTTCTAGAAGGGTTATTCAACAGTGAAGCGAAGTATTCCTCCTTCCTCACTGGACTTGGGGCCAACAGTCCCCGGAGACGGAGTCCCTTTTAAGTTTCACTGTCCACGTCACTGTTCTCTAACATGACAGCTGGCCATTACCTCACTTTCGTTGCAACAGAAGATGTCGGCATGGGTGTAAAATTGTGGATCTAGTTCAGCATGAGCTGGAGCAGGATTAAATAAGGTCTTCACTGCAACAGAATGGAAAAAGTTGTCTAAATCAATGGCATTTTTGCATAATACATTTACAAACCACTGCCTGGAACCCCAAATTCCCTACTGCAGCTAATACATTTCAGCTCCTCATCTTCTCCCCACAGATATGCAAACTACAAATGGAAAACCTGTCTTATGAAAGGAGACTCAAGGAGCTTGGCTTTTTTAGTCTAACCAAAAGAAGGTTGAGGGGAGATATGATTGCTCTCTATAAATATATCAGAGGGATAAATACCAGAGAGGGAGAGGAATTATTTAGGCTCAGTACCAATGTGGACACAAGAACAAATGGATATAAACTGCTCATCGGGAAGTTTAGACTTGAAATTAGACAAAGGTTTCTAATCGTCAGAGGAGTGAAGTTTTGGAATAGCCTTCCAAGGGAAGCAGTGGGGGGCAAAAGACCTATCTGGCTTTAAGATTAACTCGATAAGTTTATGGAGGAGATGGTATGATGGGATAATATGATTCTGGCAATTAATTGATCTTTAAATATTCATGGTAAATATGCCCAATGGCCTGTGATGGGATGTTAGATGGGGTGGGATCTGAGTTACTACAGAGAATTCTTTCCTGGGAATCTGGCTGGTGAACCTTGACCATATACTCAGGGTTCAGCTGATTGCCATATTTGGGGTCAGGAAGGAATTTTCCTCCAGGGCAGATTGGAAGAGGCCCTGGAGGTTTTTCGCCTTCCTCTGTAGCATGGGGCACGGGTCACTTGCTGGAGGATTCTCTGCACCTTGAAGTCTTTAAACCATGATTTGAGGATATCAATGGCTTAGACAGAGGTGGGAGGTTTATCACAGGACTGGGTGGGTGAGATTCTGTGGCCTGCATTGTGCAGAAGGTCAGACTAGATGATCATAATAGTCCCTTCTGACCTTAATATCTATGAATCTACTCACAGACATACAAAACCCGAAAAACCCTGTTTTTTCATTTTACAAAGTATTTAACCATTTTCTTAATTGTATTACAGAAAAACATAAACCCTCCAAACTGACATTCATTCATCTGCTGTTAGGGGAAAATGAGAGGAGAGCATTAGGCAAGATTCAAGCTGTATTCAAAAGATTTTTTAACCAAAAAAAAAAAAAAAATCTAAATGTAGATATCTAACATAAATCATTTCATTTGTGCAGTGTCTTCCCTCTGAATATTTACTAACATGAGCTTTACTAACTTTGATTTAGCCTCAGAACTTCCTGGGAGGAAGGTGAGCATTGTAATCTTCATTTTACACAGGAGGAAACTGGGACACAGAGTGACGAAGGCTTTGTCTAGACTACAATTTTAAAGTGTTAGGAGGTGTTAGCTAATGTTCCAACACTAGTATAGCTGGTGGAGATGATATCTTGGTTAAAACCTGTCCAAGTGTGTTAGCTAATACCTCCTAACAACTTGCCTTTAAACTTACTCTAGACAAAGCCTCAGGCCTCGTCTACACTAGAATAGGTTTGCCATATCAGTAGAGTGTAAGTGACTACCCAATGTAACACATAAATCTATGGATTCCTTGTTCTGCCAATCTCCTGGTTAATACATCTGTTCCTTAGCTATAAGATCATCCCTTCTTCCATATGAAACATAACCTCTTAGATTAGAAATTTTACTTATATTCAGTGACAAAAGTTTTCAAACTTGCAAGTCTGGCTCTTAAATCTATATTTAGGCACCTGAGCATAACAGCCTGAATTTCAGACATGCCAGCACTTATGAATCCCATTTATTTGAACAGAAGCTTCAGGTGATCAGAAACTTCAGTAATATGAATAAATATGAATGTAGAAGCTGAACTTTAGACACTCAAGATTTGAAAATTTAGGCCTGTGACCACTTTTCAACTTCACAATTCCTCTCTATCTTCTTATCATTTGAAAACACTGTTGCAGATAAAACAACTACATTACAAGAACGTTACTGAAGTTGCAAAATCAAGCACTCAGAAGTTAGGAAATGCTAGAAGTAGCCTTGCCTGTGCAGCCTTAATTCAGCCCCCTTGTGCATCTGATTTATGATACAGTCTAATTATATTATTACATCACATTTTTTCATAGTTTTTCTTAATTTTGAGTGCTTGTCTTTGCCACCTTAATAATGTTCTATCGACACTGGTTTTGTATGTAATTTCCTAGCATTTTTTTAAAAAGAAAAATGAAAACTGAAATGCCATCATCTGGCATCATATTGAGATACTCACGTAGATCATCAGCAGGACTGGAACTTCTAGATCCACTGCACAGACCTCTGCCATTTGAGCTAACAGAGTAACTAATAGCAGTAATAGTTTGTTATCCTTTATGTGGACCAGCACAAAAGGGGCATGGAACACTTTGCCAGTGGGTTTCACAGATATTCGCTGACAGCAGAGGAATGTAAGACTCAGGAATCTCGGGTGCCACTGCAGGCTCTGGAGGGAGTGCATCTAGTGGGCACAGACTCTTCTGCCCATTCCCTGCAAGCTTAACCCCTTATCCCCGGTCCTGTCTCTTCTCCATCCTCGGCCCGCCCCATTTCAGTCTTGTTCTCCTTACCTAGCTGGGGTTAGTCTCCATTCCGCAGCCTTTTCATCCCAGTCCTAGACTCTTTGTCCACTCATTTCTAGTCTCAACCCTGTGAACTTCCTGTCCTAATCTTTCTCCCTCCACTCCCAATCTTCACAACCTCCCTGTGCGCTCAGTCCCAGTGTGCTTGCCCAGCTCTGGCCTGCAGCAACCAGGAACAGGAATTATAAGGAAAGTCTTGCAAACCCCCAGCTGGATACATTTCCATCCATAGAGAACTGCATCACAATTCTCTTCCAACACAGCATTAATGGGCCTGATATTAACAACTTCCATTTTATATTGTCCATCATCTCCAAGGCACTTTGGGATCCTCACAAACTTTTCAAACGTAGGAAGAACTGCACTCCCCACTGAAATGGAGCCACCTCTGGGAAGGGACATGGCAGCAGTTTAACAGCACACAGCAACATTAGACAGCAGTTAAAAGGAAGAATACAGTATTCAGATCAAACTTTCAGGGGAATTTATGCACACTTAATATAGTTCCTCAAGACGGAGTCTAACTAGTATAGATCAGAGGCACCCTTGCTCTTGTACAAACTGTCATGGAATCTTTAACAACCAGAGACATTGGGAAAACCAATCTTTTCCATCTGTACCCTGCAAAACCAATACAAATGAGATTCACTGAATGGAAAAATAGGGCTCCTAGGCCTCCATCCATCCTCACCCCTTTTTCTTATTCCTTTTAATTAAAAAACAAAAACAAAAAAGCACCAAATTCAAAACAGAGATTTGAGGCATCTGGATGTGCATGTGTTAAACAAAAATAGTCTAGTGTCCTTCCTAACATATAGTATTGCATTATACATGAGGGTGCTGCAGGCTAAACCACGGGAAACAACTAACAGTCAGGATGGGTTTAAGATTCCACAGTGTTATAAAGCAAAACATTTACTTAGATTTAACTGTACAGAGCATTTGCCGATGTGCAGCATATTATCCATGGCAGAGTTGGCCCACATATTAGCAAAGGTTTGACGGCACAATGATTCCAGATTGAAGGCTCAGAACAGTATCAGTCCTAAGGCTGCTCCTGTCTCTAGCTGACACATTGTACTGCCTAATGTTGCTAAGGCTATGTCTACATTGCGTACTTTACAGCGGCACCGCTACAGCCGTGCCGCTGTAAGGTACACAGTGTAGCCGCTATTTATCGGCAGGACAGAGCTCTCCTGCTGACAAAAAAAAACAAACAAAAAAAACCCAACCCACCTGCAATGAGGGGCGGTAGTTTTGTTGGCAGGAGAGTGACAAAGGGCTGTCCGCATTGGTGCTTTTCGTTGGTAAAACTTTTGTCAGTCTTGGTGTGTGTGTTTTTCACATCCCTGACAGACAAAAGTTTTACTGATGAGAGTGCAAAGTAGACATAGGCATAGTCTTTGCTGGCCCATTCAACGTGTTGTTTTTTCACACTTCCATTTAATAGTGAAACACTCCATTTCTCCTTTGTCAGAGACTCATCTCTTAGCTTAAGGAGGTACAGAGAAGTAAAATGATTTGATCAGGATCACACACTGAGTCAGTGGCAGAGTTGACACCACAACCCAGGAGTTCTGACTTCAAGTCCACTGTTTTAACCACTACACTAAATTACTTTGACCGTTTGGATAAAGTGCAGTCAGTAAAGGCCTTAAAAAAATCCCCTTCTTTCATGTATTCCAGGTATTCCCTAAATAACTGAGGTCTTCAAAGGATAACAGAATTATCTGAAAAATAAAATTTATCTGCAGAAAAAAATGGAAAAAAGCTAAAGTTTACATTAGCCTAAAAGAAACATTCCCCCACCCCCGCATTTACCATTGTTAAAATATTTAAGAGGATAAATTTTGGGGACTGCCTGTTCAGATTGCCCCATGCCTATCCTGTCATGACAATACAGCTGGTGACTGGCATGCTAAAAAGCTGCTGCTGTATAATTGATGAAATTATGCATGTTGGTTCTGGTCTGCATATATTTATTTCAAAGCAAAGGAACCTGTTTGACAGAAACATTATAAATAATTACAATTATAAAACTGTCAAGGCTTAAATTCAAGGTCTCAGAGAAAACTTCTTCCCATGCTAGTTTTGTCCTTTTGTATTTGGTAAAATGGATTTTTTTTCTACTCTATGAGCTTTTGTTTTGTTTTGTTTTTTAATGGAGATCAAGCAGCATGGCTCTGGCTTCTTAACTTGTCATCCATGATGTCAGCACATTACTGGGAATGGTGTTTGGCAGTTAACTTGTACTCAGTTTCCTAGCTGGCTCTACAACACCGAGAAGGTAATGTGTAATTAGCAGCCACTATTTAATTTCCCAAATATATTGATTTAGAAACCAGAAAAACATTCCCCATTAGATTTCACATTTTTAAGATAGGTTAAATTTTGAGAATAAGGTATTTCAGAGGGCCCCTTTGAAGATATTTTGCAGTCACACAACATGAGGTTTTTCTGTTGGGAGAATGTCCTACGCCTGCCCTAGTGGCTTATAGGGAGTTGTTTGACAGTTGTCTCAGAGCAGCAGCCAAAATGGGCTGAGAAGATAGGCTTCCATGGTGGAGATGGATCCAAGTTAAGAAACCGTAGGGGATTGTGTTGGACTACCAAAACAGATGTTAAACTGCAATTTGGAAAGCACTTGGGTCTCACAAAAGTTTTCTGATTGATAAACCAAATGTAGAGGTGGAAAGGAATCACAAACAAACTCATGTAATTCATATTTGTATCAAAATAATTTGAATTCATGATGCTATTATGTGGATTTTTGTTCCAATGTGCACAATCCTATTAATGATATCCATAAACACTTATAACAATTTAAGTTTCAGGGCCAGATTCTCCCATCTTGCACTTTACACAGTTGTTTAAGCAGTGCAAAGTATATGCAAAATGTGTTTAAAATGCCACTAAATCTGATTTCTTTCCTCACTTACACCTATGATAACATTTTAAACCAACTTTGCACTGGTATAGATGACTTCAGGAGGTACAAGGCAGTGGAGAATCAGGTCCTCAAATCTTTCTAAACCAGGGGTTCTCAAACTTCATTGCACTGTGATCTCCTTCTGACAACAAAAATTACTACACAATCCTGGGAGGGGGGACCGAAGCTGGAGCCCTCCTGTCCTGCGGGGGGGCCCAAAGGCAAAACCCAAACCCCTCCCCCTGGGCAGGGGGGCCAAAGCCAAAGGGCTTCAGCCCCATGCAGGGGGCCTGTAACCTGAGCCCTGCCAGCCCAAAGCTGAAGCCCTCAGGCTTCAGCTTTGGCCCCAGGTGGCAGGGCTTGGGCTTCAGCTTCCGCCCCGAGCCCCAGCAAGTCTAACGCCAGCTCGGGCAACCCTGTTAAAAAGGGCTCGCGACCCACTTTGGGGTCTTGATCCACAGTCTGAGAACCTCTGTTCTAAACTGAAGGTATCATGATTTGGTAGCAAGAAGCTGGGGCTAGGAGCAAGGAAATCCTGAATTCTAATTACAACTCTGTCACTGAACTGCTGTGTGACTTTAGCCAAGTCATTTACTGTAACCTTTCAGGCTCAGTTTCCCAGTGGGTAAAATGAGAACAAAAATCGCTTAACCTTTCACTCAGTATTGTTTAAATTGCTGTGGTGGATAAGCTAGTGTAGTTGAAAGTGCTACAAACAAACAAAATGTCACTTCAATACTGAAACTCCATTCTCTAGAAAAAGAATAACAGCTTTTATCCATATGCTTCTTCAGTATACAAATCCACTGTCACAAAATAATCTGCACTGAAAGGCACAGTAACGATTAGATGTAAATTCCTGCCTGTGACATTATCCATTCTATGGCAACATGCCAAATACACTGAATACACATGGAATTCTTGCTAAATCAGTAAATTATCAGAGACTTTATGGAATTTTATTATTTTTAATAGTCGTATATAGCACCACAAGTATGAATGGTGCTGTACTGGAAGAAGAGAGACATAAGCCTAATTCTGAATTTATTACATACATTTTATACAAACGTAGCTCCATTTACTTTAACTGAATTACTCCTATTTTGTACTGATGTGAGATCAGAATCAGGTCCATAGTCCTACTCCCTGCCTTGAGTTTATTACAATCTTGGTTAGATATGACAAGACATTACACAATACAGGCAAAGACAGCATCACACAAGGAGGCTAGATAAGAGAGGTTTACACAAAATGAGATTATGCGGATGTTTGTCTGCCATGATATGCATTGAGATATTTTAAATTTTAATTTAGGTTTTATTAGAGTGGCATGAAGTTGTGGTCACTGTTTCATCTGTACTACAGGCTGGTGTGACAGAAATTAAAATGGTTTGCAGAAACCATGAAGAAAGCTTTTGCAGAGACCAAGACGAAGATGTAAAAGCATTAACCTAATGGATGAATGCTTAAGGTAAATTACCTCCATTGGAGTGTGCCATTTTTAGGGCTTCCAGAGAAATAGCAGGTGTTATTTCTAGCTGGCAGATGATCACTTTGGCCTTGCAAATGGCATTAGCAGCCCTCTTCAGGTCTTCAGAATCCAAAAGCAAATTGGCTCCTGCGACTATGACAATAACATTCTGTCCTAGAGAGAAGATTCCATGTTTTAAACTATATACTTCACTTCACTACAATAAATTAAGGTAAATAAAACAACTCTTTGCCCTTTTCTAGTGCCTTTCACATGAGGATTTCAAAGTGCTTTCCAAAAAAACTTGGAAAGCTGCATACTGGTGCACTTAATCATCCAAAGATTTCAGTGACAGCCCACCAAGACCAGTGCATAAAAGAGGTTATACTGTACCGCAAACACAATGGAGTATAGGCATTTTTTGAGGATTTAACATGGACAGATTTTTTCCAAGTTTGATTTTCATGTTCTGTTTGCACTAAAAAGAACCACTAAACTGTACCAAATTGGAGATATCGGGGTCTTGAGTGTCCCCTAAAGATATTTGTGCCTTCCTGTGACGTTACCATAGCAGAAGTAATCACACTGATATAGTGAGTCACGATGCTCAAAATGCATTCATAATTTTAACTGTCCCCTCTTCTTAGGATCACTGGATATTGGATCAAATCTCCAAAAATTATGAGCATCCTGTGAATTTCAAGAAGAGAGAGGTAGCCCTGCTCCAGTTATCAGGGACACTCCACATTGTCAGTGTTCTGAAGCATTGTGAGAACCTGAAACAGGCCCTAGCACCAATGACATGAGTTTTAAGACAGATAGTTAATATTTGACTCATAAGAACTCTTTACAGCATATTAGGAGGGAGTAAAGATGGGCAGCCTGTCCCTTTGAGGGCTCGCAGATGGAATGCTCTTCCAATGGATATGCTGTAAAGCACAACTAGGGCAACAGTTCAAATCCTTTCTGGTGTCCTTTTCATTCTGGTTGTTTGTTTAATGTATATGACTGGATGGGGAGGTTCATTACCCTAGGCACTTGCTATTGTGTTTTTTTTAAAAAAAACAAGCATATTGCCTTTATTTGATTGCAGTTCTGTTTTTAGTTATTCTGTTAAGATACTGAGAGACCTTCAGGCATGGATGCTTGCTAATTAAAATGTATTATTAATCACTAAGTATTAAATTCAATAAACCAGTTGCTTCTGAATCTACAGCTCCTACCACCTGCCTCTGCTGAAGATTCCTTAAGGGGCTGCCAATCACTAAAGGCCACCGATTCTGTAATGGATTGAGTTACTTGGTGAATAAACGGCTAGCTTTTAAAAATGCATTTTTTTTTCTTGAAAGAGACTTCATAGTCCCTTGTGTAAGCAACATGCAAAGCATGTCTCCATGCTGACATTCTGAAGGGAAAGCAGGAAATGGAACAATGATCCCAAGCTTTCCAAAGCAACTCCACTGTCAATGGCTTGGTTTAAAAGAGTTGCATTTGAATAGCAAAACCTCAGCATTTTGGCTGACACCCTGTTTTTCAACAGATAAAGCTGGGCATCTTGGTTGCAGGAAACCTCTCCAACAAATAGATGCCAATCAAAAGCATCTGGATTTTGCTATAGGAATATTCAAAGGCAAACAGCATCTATTTTGCCCAACATACCTTCTGAAAGTTTACATGGTGAGAAGCTAAAAATGGTGAATTGAAGGGGTCAGATGGAATAAAACTGTGGTGGCTGTCCACCTCAACTGTGTGCTACCTACAATCCCAAATTCTACTCACTGGAGTACCTGCATGGTCCTGCTGAAATAATGAGCAGCAAAATAGTTAATTTTAAAGTTAATGGCATATTAAGATAATTGTAGCTGTTTGTTTCAACCTGTTTTTGCAGATTCAAGGTAGAAAGTGCTGCACTGTGTCACAGACAGAAGGGTTTTATTTTGCAACTGTAAAGGGCTAGAGACTTACATTTTGCTTTAGACCAATAGTCCTGCCAGAGAAATACAATATTACTACATCGTACCAGCCAGTACTGGCTCAATCCAACATTTAGAGAAATAATGGATCACATTCTGCTTTTAGCTACTCTGATTTTGTCTGGAGTAACACCACTGAAGACAATGAAGTCACTTCAAATTTATATCAGTAGAAATGAGAGCAGAATCTGGCTCAAAATATTCAAAGTTAGCATTTCTGAGTCTACTACTATGGCAACCAATTTGCTTAAACAAGGACATTGGTGACACCAAGCAGGTGGGAACCCAGCACCAGAGACAATAAAACAGTATTAAATAGCAATGGATACTAACAGTCAGGAAAAGATCATTTCTGTGCAATGTTTATCTTACAATTCCCTTACTTACATTAGTAGATCTTGACTTCAATTAAATGACTAAGGGCTATTCATGTGAGTATGGGTTTGCTCATTAGGGTTTTAGACATTTCATTTAAAATAGCAAGGGGTACATTCTCAACTAGTGTAAACTAGCATAGTTCCACTGAAGAGATGGAGCTACACAAATTTACACCAGATGGGGATTTAGTACTTATTTAAAAAGTCCTTCTGATACTTAAACCAGTATGAATGCTGAGTACATAGATACTGCTTTCAACTGTGCTTCTAACCCTGCCAGCATCACTTGTCAGAAAGACGGTGGCCACTAGCAGTAGGCTGTGGGCTACATGGAGACACTCAGGAAGGTTAATCTGAATTATCTATTTTTTGTGATGAGGTTTTTAAAATTGATTTTCATAAAGAAAACAGACAATGAAAAGTACAAAAAGGTTAATTAACTTTTTTAATGGATTGTTTAAACCAGTGGCTCTCAACCTTTCTAGACTACTGTACTCCTTTCTGGAGTCTGATTTGTCTTGCGTACCCCCGCAAGTTTCACCTCACAATTTGCTTACAAAATCAGACATAAAAATATAAAAGCGTCACAGTGCACTATTACTGAAAAATTGCTTACTTTCTCATTTTTACCATATAATTATAAAACAAATCAACTGGAATATAAATATTGTGTTTACATTTCAGTGTATAGAGCAGTATAAATAAGTCACTGTCTGTATGAAATTTTAGTTTGTATTGACTTGGCTGGTGCTTTTTATGTAATCCTGTTGTAAAATTAGACAAATATCTAGATTAGTTTATGTACTCCCTAGAAGACCACTGCGTAGCCACAGGGTACGTGTACCCCTGGTTGAGAACCACTGGTTTAAATTCACTTTGGAAGTGAATTAAATTAAACTGAATTAAGACCACTTCAGTTCTGAGTAAGAAAATCCAAACTGGGGCTTAATGCAGTTTAATCCAATTTAAATTTACATCTTCAGTTAATACAGATTAATTTTTCTGAGTATCCCTATGTAGGCAAACCCTGAAAACCGCCAAATGAATTTAAAGTGTTATTTTAAAATACATTCTACAAATGCCTTATGACAGGAATATTCAAGGCATGTCTACACTTAAAATGCTGCATCAGCGCAACTGCACCGATGCAGCTGCGCCACGATAACTCTTTAATGGAGATGCTCTAAACCAGAGGTGGGCAAACTACAGCCCGTGGGACCATCCTGCCTGGCCCCGGAACTCCTGGCCAGGGAGGCTAGCCCCCGGCCCCTTCCCTGCTGTCCCCCCTCCCCTGCAGCCTCCGCGCACCATGCCGCCAGCGCTCTGGCCTGCCGCTCTTGCCGGGCAGCACAGCGGTGTGGCTGGCTCCGGCATGGTAAGGGGGCGGGGGGGTCCCTGGGGGCAGTCAGGGGACAGGGAGTGGTTGGAGGGGTCAGGGGTTTTTGGGGGGGCAGTCAGGGAGCAGGGGGGTTGGATGGGTTAGGGGTTCTGGGGTGAGCAGTCAGGAGACAGGGGGCGGTTGGATGGGGCAGAGGTTTTGGGGTGGGCGGTCAGGGGATGGGGAACAGGGAGGCTTGGATAGGCATGGGAGTCCCAGGGGGCCTCTCAGGGGACGGGGGTGGGATGGGGTCGGGGCAGTCAGGGGACAAGGAGGGTTCGATAGGGGGTGGGGTCCTCGTGGGGCAGTTAGGGGCGGGGGTCACAGGAGGCGGCGGTCAGGGGACAAGGAGTTGGGGAGGTTGGATGGGTCAGGGATTTTGAGGTGGGGCAGTCAGGGGGCGGGAAGTGGGAGGGGGCAGATAGGGACGGGGGTACAGCCTTCCCTACCCGGCCCTCCATATAGTTTTGCAACCCCGATGTGGCCCTCAGGCCAAAAAGTTTGCCCACCCCTGCTCTAAACTGATGGTAGAGAGCTTCTCCCATCGGTTTAGCTAATCCACCTCTGCAAGAGGCAATGGCTATTTCGGCGGGAGAGGTTCTCCCACCAACATAGTCTGTCTACAGTGCAGCTTAGGTAGGTATAACTACATTGTTCAGGGGTGTGGATTATTCACACCCCTGAGTGACGTAGTTATACCAAAGTAATTTTGTGATGTAGACCAGGGCTCAGAACACACTGCCAAATACAACAGGGGCCAAATACATGTGAAAGAGCCCTCAAGCCATCAGTGGCGTTTAAGGGCTTGTCTACACGGCCCCACAGTGCAGACTATGGGGGTATGAATTGAACTATGCACTAAAGTATTGCCCTGTAACTGCCCTATGTAGGCCCTGATAGTGTGAACTAAAAGGGACTAATGGGACCACCTTAACGTAAACTAGGTATCTTTTAGTTCACATTAGCAGGGTCTATGCCTGGCAGTTACAGCACAACACTTTACCATGAGCTGCAATTCACGCTCCCGTAGTCTGCACTGTGGCCAACAGACTACTACATCTTAGCAGTCTCTCAACCTATCAGTACAACTGCAATAAGGGCTGCAGAGCTCCTGCACAGTATTTCATAGGCAAAAATGATAATGTCTGTAACTACGAAAGAATATTATGAGAAATAGTTGCTTGACAAACCACACAGTTCAGGAGCATAAGGACAAGTTTTGGGTGTGTCCATGGTGATGTAATTTCTCTACAGTCACTTGATGAACACATTAATAAGCCCCATTTGCCAGTATATTAAAATAAGATGCTACTTCCAGGTACCAGTTTCCTATTAGCCCGCAGGACCACAACATGTGTTTTACTTTATGCAAAGGATATTTCAGTCACATTGACATTCATGTTCTGCACGTTTTTTGCCTTGTTTTGCTAGTCACTTCTAAATGTA